TTCTGGTTTGCTCTTTATTGCTTCTCATTAACTGCTTGGATCGCAGCCCTCAGGTATTAATTTAGTACTTGATTCCCTGAAGTTTTAACCAGAAATTGTCTGTTCAAATCTCTGAGAACTACTGCATCGGCCTCCTTCTCTTTCTGGACTGCCTGAATCGTTGTTTCTGCTTACCAGAATCATATAATGAAGTAAAAACGTCAGGGGAGTTTGTAAAATGGAAAGCTTCCCACACATGTGAATGCCGGTTTAGCAAAGCTCTCACCGTGGCACTCCACTGCTGAGGAACCTGCAGTTCCCAACTGCCTACCCTATCAATTCCAAACCCCTCTTCTCAAGTTCGCCCATAAAAACAACCCATTCCACCTGTCCCATTGCATTTCCTAGAGCATGTCAACAGAGACCCTTCACGCCAGGCAGGCCAGACAGCTTGCACGGTCTTATCCATAAAATCAATCAACCAATGCACACAGTTCTCTCCTCGTTTCTACCTGTGTGACTTGAGCTAAGATATTTAAATTTTCAGTAGGTCAGTTTCCTTAACTCTAAATAGTAGCATCTAAGTCAGAGGGTTGCTGTAAGGATTCAAATTAATATGGATAAGGTTCTTAGAACAGTGCCTGGCACACACTAAGCACTTATTAACAGTTAGCTCCAGGGGCCTGCCCGGTGGCCTAGCAGTTAGGTTGGCACACTCTGCTTCGGGGGCTTGAGGTTCGCTGGTTCGGATCCTGGGCGCGGACACGTGTACCGCTCATCAAGCCATGCTGAGGCAGCATCCCACATAAAGCAACTGGAAGGATGTCTATGCCATACAACTATCTACTGGGGCTTTGGGGAGCAAAAGGGAAAAAAGGAGGAAGATTAGCAATAGATGTTAGCTCAGGGCGAATCCTCCTCAAATAAATAAATAAATAAATAAATAAATAAATAAATAAATAAATAAATAAATAAATAAATAAATAAATAAATAAGAGAAGCCTTTAAAAAAAAAGTTAGCTCCAATTAGTGTTATTATTGGGCTAGATCCATCGAGGGTACATAGATAAATTAGAGGTAGATTATTTCCCTTTAAAGAACTTCCAGATGGGGAAGGTGATGAGTTTTGTATCCACACACAATACGTGGTAGCTGTAGGAAGAATACAGGCAGATGAAGGAACTTCTGCCCTTTCCCCCAGGCCCTGTCCTTCTCTCTACTGTCTTACTAGCTCTTTCTCAAATAGAAAAAATTGTGGTGAGAACTTGCTGGTCAGAAACTCACTGGGCCACGTTTTATAAGCGGTCAAATCATGGTGCCTTATAGATAGGCAACCGTGAACAGTCCTTCCTCTTCTCCTTCCAAGGTAGGGTATGGTCCCAAGGGCAAGCCAGTGACCACCATCCGTGTGGCTGGCTGCTAAGACTCAGGGTCTGCAGATCCTAACAGCAGGGGGCAGAAGGCTTCACTTGGAACTTAACCCTAAGTCAATTAACAACCAACTAAGTTTTTCCAGAGAACTCTCAGAATCGGATATTTGCCCATAATCATGTGGTAATCTGTTTTACATTCTACTGTTGTTCTGAACATACAGATTCCAGGTTGAGAACCTTAAGGGGAGGAGGTACGAGTGGTAGAGTTCAAGCACTAAGACCCTATCCAAACTCTTGATGACAGAGAGCAAAAAGGGTCTCGGCAGGGTTAGATAGTGCACTGTGAGACACTATCCTTGCCTAGCAGCAGAGGATGGGAGGAGAAAATCAGGGAAGGCTCCGTGAAAGAGGTGGCATTTGAGCTGGGACTGTAAGGATGAGTAGTACAGGCTAAGATAGTGGGAATCCCCCAGAATTCTGAAAACTAGCATCATCAAACCAAAACACAATTTAAATTAAAAAAATGAACATGTTAGGGGGTGATTAGAGACACCAAGTCAGCCAGTGTCCAGCCTCTAGCTTTCGGGGTCTTGGGCAATCTGAATACTGGAGAAATGGTCTCTGGACAGGGTGGGTAATGGTTCAGTGGGCTCTCCTACAGTTTCAGTGAATTCTCCAACCTCACTCCCATTATCGTAATTCCTATTTTCTGACTTCATACTACTAGGCCACTTTTTCATTAAAAATTCAGTTTGTTGGCTACTTTGAACCTGAGAAGGGTGTACCCTGCACAGAGGAAACAAGTAGCCCAATCACTAGAAAAAGACAACCCCACTTGTAATGACAGAAAGAAAGAATAGTTTAAAGATACTATTTCCACCTCTTCACTTGCTATTTCCTCCACGATCAGTCAGGCTCCCTCCTTCCTTCTCCACTGAATTCATCCCAGGACAATCCACCCATTCCCTCTCATTTCCTGAATCCATCAACTGTTTTGAGTCTTCACGCTATCAGGCCTCACCATGGCATGGGACACTGCTTCCTGACACCTCCTCTCCTTCACCTTCTGGGTGGGACACGCTTCTGGGACATTCCCTGCTCCTGCCTCTTCCTCTCTGGCAGTATCCTTTTAAGGCAGTGTCACTGACTATCTCTAAGGATCTTGGGAAAGTCTCCATTCAGGACCCACAGGGTTAAAGCCCAGGCCCAGGGTAATCTAGCAGAGGTGCTGCCCCTTAGAGGCTCACCCCACTAGCACCCACCAGATGGTTGTAAGATCGGCATTTGAAGATGAATGAACAGTCAGAGAGAAGAGTAAAAGAATGGACAGTGAAAACTCAGAGTGAGGGAAGAGGAGTGAGAGATGGTTGTAAAAGGAAGTTGGGCCAGAGAGAAAATTCCAGATAAAGGAGTTGAAGCTTCATCCAGGGAGCAGGTTGGAACCATCACAGATTTTTGAGGGTTAGAGCCAGGCTTGAGGTCGCATGTGCAGAATGGGTGAGAGCGACGAGCAGATAAACTAGGGGTCTGTACACACATCGCATGCCCTGCTACGCCTGTGGGGTCACCTCCCCTAAATGCCCTCCGTCTTCTGGCTCATCAAAGTCTTTCATGCTTCCTGGCTCAACCTTCCAGCCTTCCTATAGCTGCAGCCCACCCGATGTCCACGTTCATGAAACTGTCTGAACTAGACAACTAACTTCTTTCTTTCTGTATACACAGACTGACATATAGAATCTGACCTTGTTCTCCAATTGTTAGGTGCATGTGCCCAATGAGAACATAAGCTCTCATGTGACATGTTTGAGTCACCCGGCCGTGTGCTAGGCTGACTACGAACAGAACAAATATGTATTAGATGCTTTCAGAAAGAGACAGGCTCTGGAATATTTATTCTTTTGTAAAGTGACAGATTCTACTTCTGCATGTTGTCCTCTCACCCTCCATTCTCTCCTCCCTGGCCATATGGCTGCCCAGCAGAAGACTACATTTCCCAGCTTCCCTTGCAGCTAGGTCATATAATTATGTTCTTGCCAAAGAAACGTGAGCAGTAGTGACTTGTGCAACAAGCCCAAAAGGTAATTGCTTGTCCAAAACTTCCTCTCTTTCTCTTTTCCTCAAGATTGAACAAGGACATGCAAGCAACCAACTTCCATATAGATGAGGACAAAGCCTCAGGGGATCCTAGAGCAAAAAGACTGAAGGAACCTCAGTCCCTAAAGGCCCTTGTGGAACAGAGCTGTCCCACCAGCCCAGACTAGCCAGATTCATATGAGAGAAAATAAACTATCTTATTTAAGCCACTATATGTTGGGGTCTCTGCTTCAGCAGTTAAGCCTTTACCCAACTAATGTATTTCCCAAAATCCATTCTCTCCATCTTCCTTTATAGAATAATTCCAATTTTTGAATTGGGCACATTACTTCCCAGCTAAAAGGCTACATTTCCTAGCCTCCTTTACACCTATGTGTAACCACATGACTAAGTTGTGGCTAATGAAGTGTCAGCAGAATTGTTATATGGGACTTCTGAGTAATCTCCTTACAAAGCAGTCAGTGACCTTCTTCCCACTTCTTCTTTCCCACTGTCTGGAAAGTAAATGTAATGGCTGGAGATCAAGCAGCCATTCTGGACGATGAAGTTACATGCTAAGAATTGTGAAGAAGTATGAGCCAATGTCTCTGATGACCAGTTCTGGATTGCCTTCTTCTAGATTTCTTTACGTGACAGAGAAACTTCTATTTTATTTAAGCTATTAATGTTTGTTTATTGTAGGCAGCTAAACCTAATCCTGTTATAGATGCGCTCAACATCATACCAGTTGCTGGGACACACAACCTTTCAAACCCCAATTTGATTCTTGGATATTACTCTTAGCAGAAGAAAAGGAAAACCACTACTTTCCAAACTGCAGAAGTAAGAGGCCAGTTTCCATTCTTTCTGAACAGAATCAGCTTGACTTTTGTGCTCACTGAAGCCACTCTACAGGGAGGTCTGTGACTGACAAAACCCCAGTCTCTGGGCCCAGCCGGCCCCAACAATGGTGGCTCACACTAGGGGACCATAACATGTGTGATAACAGAAAAGAAGTGGGATGGAAGTGGGGAAGGAGATGCGATCTAGCTCTGATGGCAGGGCATGGGCAGGAACAAAACGCTTTGAGGCTGGGGTGCTAGTCACTGAAAATTTAGGTCAACACGACAGGGAGGAAATAAGGCAACATCTCTCTTTAAGTTGGGATTTCTGCCTCCCACCAGCCGCTCTGATTTCACACATCCCAGGCCAAATGGCGGCCTCCTCCCCTACCATCCCCTACCCCAAACCCTGACAGGGAGACTGGAGACCAGATGCTGAAAACTAGAGGAGCTAGTTTCAGCCCCAACTGTCCGCAGTTTCGCAGGACTTGGCTGACCACCTCTCTCGCCTGGCCTCAGTCTCCCCACCCGTAAAGCGGTGGAGGGCGCTGACAGCTCTTCGGGCCCCCTCTCCATGCGGATGGGAGTCTGAGACAGGCGCTGTGCCAGCGCTGCCTCCTTTCGCATCCTTACCAATCCCCCAGCCCCAGCCCCCGCCCCCGGTCCTGCTACTGCCTTGGTCCCCGACCCCGGGTCTGCGCTCCCCCAGCCCCTCACCCTCCCGCAGCCTCACCCTCCTCCGACAGGTAGCGCAGGTCGTAGAACTCCCCGGCGAAGGTGCCATAGGAGGAGTCGTGGCGCGGC